CCCACGCCCGTCCCTTTTACATCTAAAGATAGGGTTACTTACCAAATCAATGGTAAGATAACCATGTCAAAGGAAAGAGGAAATGAACATGAAAGACATTTGAGTAGGTAGAATGTTCCTAGTTACTTGCTCAATTTCAAAACCAAAAACATCCTTGCTATTTTCAAAACAAACACCAACACTTTCAAAATATCTTTCAAACTTGAAAACATTTTCAAAAGATCAAACATTTTGTATACATTCTTACGAACGAGAATCATTACAAAGTTCGCCTAAACGATGACGCCTTTTCAAAATACTTTCAAAAACCACACAACGCACATTTTCAAACAAAAGCAAGTCATCTAGCAAGTAACTAAGAGCCCATGGAAAACCATGGATGAAAAGGGTGATAATACCTTCCCTTTTCATAATCTGCCCCCTGAACTCAAGAAACAATCTCAAAGGTCTTTCCTGTGCTTTTTCACCTTTCCTTTTGGATAAAAGAAAAGTTGGTGGCGACTCTTGCTAACCGCAACATTTACGATCAAACGCAAAACAACCAAGTCAGTTCTCCCACCGTATCACACTAAGGAAACATGCAAAAGAAGTGGAAGTTGTTGTTGAAGTTATCTTGAAGTTTGCTGTAGAATCTTTTGAAGTCGGGGTTCAACCGTTGGAAGTGGTTACTACAAAGACTCAAAATCTAGAAGTTGATGAGGAAAAATAACTAGCTGCTTAAGCTAATCCAAATGTGGTAGAAATTGTTAACACATGTAACATTCTAGATCCTATCTCTGGGTCAGTATTAGATTCTTCATGTCCCCATCAGAAACCAAAACACCAACCCCTCACCAATCATCTTCTCAATAATCTGAACACACACCCTCACCATTCATGATATGGCTCTACCCTTAGAACCTGTCATGAATTCCCCCAAACCTACCTCAACCTCTGAATCCCAAACCATAATTCAGATACTAGAAATGCCCTTAATCCATTTATCATAGATGAATTATCAAGACACCTAGTTTGCGAGTTCACTTTTGAACAAAACCAACAAGCACTTATTTCAGTATCCAAAGAACCCTTTCCCCTAAACATCATGACTAATAATGGCCAGTTCATGGAAACCATTATAGAAGAACAACTTAAATCCACCTATAGCCCTCAATATAAAAATATTTCATCCTTAAGCATTAATCTTCATCAATATTAAGTTCTGATTTTGATGAATGCGACTTCATGCCAATTGAAGTCACAACCCTCCAATACATACTCTTAAACACCACAACTTTTGAAACTCCTCAAACAAAAGTTGAAACCAACACTGTTCACTCTGAACCCGAACCTATTCCTAAATCATTCATACAAGACCAAACCAGCCTTGTTCAACATGATCTTGAACCTGAACCTTAACAATCTATAAGATCAACCTTTACCATAACCACAAGCAGAAATTGCATCTGAACAATCAGTTCTATAACATCTACCTGAACCATAATCTCCTGAACATCAAACCCTATTGAACAACAAACCCCTCCACCGGTTCACTCTACCTGTTCAAGAGATAAAGATGTTATGTCAGGATCTGGCGCAATAGCTTTACCTTTCTCTGAAGATAGATCCCTACCTATCCCTTTATATTCTCACCCAACTAATTATAAAAGCATTCCTCCTCATATATAAGCCCAAATGGAAGAATTTAGGACTAGTATCTTCGATAAGGTTCATGATTTAGCTGTTGAGAGAATCATAACATCTGATTCCATTTCATATGTTGCTAAGTGGGATGCTCTCAAAACCTATGTAGATACAATTATGCAAAATCTTTAGACTTTATTCCAGTCAGAATCAAGAGAAATTAGAGGCTAAACTGGCTTTTGTTACTAGTAATCAAGAGGCTATAGGAGCTCAACTTCAGAATGTGGCTGCTCATCAAAGTTATCTAGTCAACAATCAGGAAGAGATGGATGCTTAGTTGAAGTCAGTGGTTGAAAGGTAGAGTGACATGGGTTCTGACATCAAATCCATCCCATAGCTTCTGAAGAAACCCTAGGCTTTAAGACTTAGAACCTTTTGTTGATTTTTTAACGTATTTTGACAATATTTTGCATCTGAAACTCATTTTTCTTGGTTTAATGAAATTTTCTTCTTCAATATTTTTTTCTTATTTCATGTACTTTATATTTTTGTTGATGTAAAAAGGGTGAGTAAGATAATAAGTATTTAAACACCTAAATTTGATAGTTAGTTTCATGCTAAATTCTGAAGATTAAATTATTGTGCTTTAAAGATCAATTTAATTAACCTGGATAAAACTTGGGGGGGGGGGGGGGGGGGTTACAAACCTCGCCTTTTGGACTACTAGACTCAGAGGGAGCTTACAAATATCAGATCTAGAATTCAACTTGTTAATTAAATTAACAACTATTGTTTTTAAATACTTGTGTTTGTCATCGTTAAAAAGGGGGGAGATTGTTGAAACAAAAGTAGTGTATACCATCTCCCTAAGGTTTTGATGATAACAAAGTATTTAAAGAACAATTAGTTATATATGTTCAAGTATGTAGGACCATAGACTAAAATTTATGATATAAACTTAGTACTGGTATTGAAAGAGAACATTTAAAGATAAGCTAAAAGATCTAGAATCTGAAGAATCAGATCCTAAGAGTTAGACTCTAAAGACTCAGACTCTGAAGGAGGTCAACTTCTGAAGACCATAGTCTGAAGAAAGTCAACCTCTGAATATCCAGACTCTGGAGACTCAAACTCTGAACCAGGTCAACACAAGGATCAAGAAGACTCTGAAAGGTCACTATTAGACTTAAGTTATTTTATCTTCTTCTGATCACGTGAAAAACCAAACAAAAATCTGCACAAACAATAAGAATGCAATATATAATTCCTTTTTAAGCAAATGTATTTCAAATTTCTCTTCCACAATATTATCCATATCAAGAAACATTCCAACGTCTATGATCAAGCTTCTCTATGACTCTCTTGTGAAAGCTCTTTCCTTCAACGACTCTTTTTTATATCTCTTTATAAAAGGATGAATACTTGAAAAAAAACCTAATCTTTGACAATTAAAAATAGTTGTTACCCAGTCAAATCGAAAGCACAAGTTTAACTTATAACTTTTTAATATTTGTATATCTTTGAAATCTTAAGCCTTAAGAATCTTATTGAGTTGTATTTTGTCTATACTTTTGATTGTATATTAAGTATAATATCCAAACAATCTTTTATCTAATTAGGATAGATTGTAAGAAGTCTATTACTTATGTACTTGAGCATCTGAAGTTTCTTACTTGTATGTTTGAGCATTTGAAGTCTCTTACTTGTATGCTTGAGTATTTGAAGTCCCTTGTTTGTATGCTTGAGAATTTGTAATCATTTGATTATAGTGAATTCTTTGGAAGTGCAAAGAGACTGGACTAATCTCGATTTGTGGGAGGAACCAAGATAAAATTTCTTGTGTCTCTCTTTCTTTCACTCTCTAACTCTAAACTAGCTTTTATCTGTTGCAAATAATTAACTTTGTATTATATTTTATACCATGTGTTCAAAATTCGATAATAATGTTTTATAAAAAGATAGAAAAATCTAACACAATTCAACTCCCCCTTGTGTTTTTCTCACCTTCAGACTACCTTAAAAGGAAAAACTTATTGGGTATAAGTGGATGAAAGTGCCTAGATAAAGGTTTAAGAATCGTTTGAAGTAGATCAAATTTTTTGAATAATGATTCAAGACTTGAAGAGAGTGACAGGGTGGTTGATGGTTAAATTGACATCCTCACCAATTTTAAATTTAAGATGGATAACTGTGGAGATTGCGTTGAAAATCATAGTTTTTGTTTGTGAGAGCACATTGCATTTGAAAGGAACGTTGTGCTTTAGGAAATCAAAGTACATTTGTAGGAAACACAATAGTTTCCTATGTTTTTCTAAAAATGCAACGAGTTTCATGAAAACGTAATGAGTTTTGCATGAAACTTTTAAAAGGTGTTTTTCATCTCTTTTCTTGGTACGAGTGACATGCAAGTAACTTTTGAGAATCATTAAGGTTCAATCCTAGTGATATTAACTTAAAAAGGATTAAAAAAGGAATTTTTATTGGTGAAGGTTAAAATTTGGAAGACCTTTATTGGTATCTAAGGAATTCTGAAACATTTATAACACCTTGTGTCTGTGTGATTCATAGATTAAGATTTAGAGAGATGGGAAAACACTTATGTAAAAAATAAGAGATATTCTTGAAAACTATGAAGGAGAGTCTTTTATGACTCAATTCTAATATCTTGTAATAACCTTTGAAGTACTATGACGAATTGGAAAATCACGCTCTCCTCTAAAATAGATCGATTTGATTGAATTGGATAAATAAATTCTTTACGTATTCGTTATTTTATTTTCTTCTTTTTATTATTTTTATGGATTTTCTAATCCAGTTCTATGTACATACTAATTTTGCATGAAGCCGTTTATTTAATTCGTTATTCTTTATCTCTTACCCATGAAAAAGATTATGTTTTTTTGTGATTGAACTTCAATTCCAATAGTTTTTGAAAACCAATATTTTTTACATTAATCTATTTCAAGATTTCGGTATTGACACATTTATTCCATTGGGCCTAAAAATGTTTATGTTGTAGTTCATACTATTTTTTTTTATTTCTATAGGAAGACCAAACAATCAATGCCTTACTAAAAATACACTTTTAAATCGGTTATATGACCAACCAAATTAATGAGTTGTTTCTAGATTAAAGTACACAACTGCTCAAGGTTCTTTGGAAGATATATGAAGAAACTAACTTAGATGCTACAAAGGCATCGAGCATGTGGATTCTTTGGAAGATACATGAAGAAACCAACTTAGATGCTACTAAGGTATATATCAAAATCCCAATTCTTAATTAAATTATCATATAGTTAACTTGCTATAAAAGCTTTCATGGTATATATATATCCAAGATAAGAAACAAATTTGTTTGGAATGAAATTTACAAAATGGCATTGAGCAACAATGTCATAGGAATCATAAACTTCATTGCAGTACTCCTCTCAATCCCTATCATAGGTGCTGGAATTTGGCTAACAACTTTACAAGCAGAATCATGTGTCAAAATCCTACAATGGCCAGTGATCATTTTAGGGATACTAATTTTCATTGTTGCTATGGTAGGCTTGGTTGGAGCCTTTTGGAGGATACCAATGCTTCTTATATTCTACCTTATTGCAATGATTGTGCTCATTGTATTGTTGGTTTCTTTGGTTATTTTTGTTTATTTTGTCACACTTAGAGGACATGGAAATATTGAACCTAATAGGTCATATTTGGAGTATCGCGTGGATGATTTTTCAATTTGGTTGCGTAGAAGGGTTAGAAGTTCACGTAAGTGGGATGGAATAAAGAGTTGTCTTAGTTCATCGAGTATTTGTGCTGAGTTGAATCAAAGTTATCGATTACCTCAAGATTTCTTTAATGCACACCTATCACCCTTGCAGGTAAATTCTCTAAACATTGATTATAGAAAATAAATCAGATTGTTTAATTATTTAAAATTTATATATATAAACACATTCGATTACGCAAATGCAAATTTATTCTCACGACGATCTATTTATTTATTTTTAAGCGATAAAATGTTGATCATTGTATTATTAGATGAAAAAATTCATTTTTTTTATAATATATTTGTTAAAAAACCGTTTTTATTATATTCCTTGTTCATTAAGTAAAATATATTTAAAGCAACCACTAATTATTAATTAATCAAAGAACTCAGATTTCTTACCAAAAGAAAAAGTTATTACACATTCTTTTCCCACAAACCATGTTATTCCTCTTTAACCCTTTATTCCTTTTCCTTTTTAATTTTAATTCCATCTTTGTATTTCATATCTCATGCAGTCAGGGTGTTGCAAACCGCCAACAAAATGTGGCTACACATTTGTGAACCCAACTTATTGGATTAGTCCAATCAACAATGGTGAAGATAATGATTGCATGAAATGGAGCAATGATCAAACACAACTTTGCTACAATTGTGACTCATGCAAAGCTGGTTTATTAGCAACACTTAGAAAAGAGTGGAGAAAAGCCAACGTGATATTGATTGTTACATTGGTTGGTTTAATTGTTGTGTATTTGTTTGGTTGTTTTGCCTTTAGGAATGCCAAAACTGAGGATCTTTTTCGCAAATACAAGCAAGGCTACACTTGAAATTAATATATTTTTTATTTATTTGTTGAAATTCGAAGTGATTAGATTATGAGCATGACGATGAAGGGTGAAATTGACTCATTTTGCTTTGTCTTAATTATGATTATTTGTAGTGAAGAAATCTATGAAATTGATGTACTACAATGTATGTGTTTGTATTGGAATGTTAAATCATTTTTCATGAATCCACAAAAGAACTTTTATGCATAGACAGATAATAAGTGATTTAAAAAAAACTCATTAGTTTTGTCTTTGTATTTTTTATGAAAAAAATTAAAATACTAAAAATTGTTTTAAATTAAATTTTTATAAACTAAAAGACTAATTTTGACATTTAATAACATAAAAAATATATTAATGAATATTAAATTATTGTTAAAATTACATCAATTTAAAAAATATATATCTTAAAAATTATTTTTATAACAAAATTATTCAAAATAATTTCAAAATTTAAGTGATTTTTTAAAACTGTCATAAAAAATCATAGTTAAAAGATGAAAAATATAAAATAATATTTTATAAATAATTATTTATACTAATTTTTTATTTAAAATTATTATAAAATAAATTCTTCGTACACTTTTTTTCAAAATAATATATAATGTTATAAAAATTATTTTAAAAAAAATGAAACAAGGGAATTCATTATGTTCGAAATAAAGTGAACATTGTTTATCCTAAAAATATTCACTTTTAACAGATAAACTCAAAAGATTAATTTAACACTTAATTAGATCATATTTTGTTTTTATTGTTGATAGATATGCATATTTAAAGATTTTTTAACATTTGAATAACTTATAACTGTCACGTGTTTCGAATATCACAAGAAAGTGCATAAGAAAAACAATAAATGTACCGTAAAGAAAAGTAACAACTGAAATATTAATTAAGTATGTATATATTAATAGTAAGGAAAAATATACTTCATTATTGTTCATCATATCAATCGAGGTTGTTATTTTTTGTGTGAACGAATCTGTACTCTATTTGTAGAATATGCTTTTTAATGGAAAATAAAATTCCTCTAACAATGGAGGTTCTTCGCTAAGTTATTAAAAATCATAAGTTAACTTCCTCCAACCTAACATGAATGGCATGGTTCATAACCATCTTGAACTAACTATTACAAACTTTTAGTACAAGCTTATTCTCTTGACCGTTGTAAATGTCTCCATTGAATATGTAACCTCTTTATATTGCCTGAACACACATGTCCTTTTTAGCTGTAATTTCGAAGTTTTTGATGAAACAATGTTCAAAGCAAATTTGAAATTTAAGTGTTGGATGATGGAAGTCACTGTTTCGATAGGCATTGATAAAAGAGATATTTTGACCGAAATTTACCCAGAAGAAGCAATGTAAGGTGAAAATTTAACAAGTTTCTGAAGAAATTCGAAGTGCATTCGACAGATATTCAAATTGGTTTTGGTACTTATTTGGTTTTTGAAAAAGAGATACGTGGATGCCTGCGAAAGGCTAGAGACGTGTAAACGAGAACGTGTCAACTTCTCAAAAGAAGTTCGTTCGTGATAGTTAGTTTTAAATTACTATATATAAAGGTTTCTTGTGTTAGAATTCTGTGTTTTCACTTTTGTACAAATTACTCAAATAAACTCAAAGTATCAAGTGTTAGAGAAACGAGTTGCTGAGAATGTACATATGAAACACCAGTTTTTCATTCAATGTTATTCATTTTCGAATAAAGTCTTTTACGTTTCATTTAAGTTTAAGTAAAAGTTCAAATACATTTCAGTCTTTATCTTAAAGCCTTTTTATCTTTATTTTAAAGCTTTTTTATCTTTACTTTCGTTATAATTATTTCTTTGATATATATTGAATACCCAGAAACATTAGAAAACATAAAACATGCATTATGTCATAGGATCAATCTAGTCGATCTTATAAGTAATCAGAATTTCTAGCATTCGGAAGACTAGCACTTATTTATCAAATTTCACAGTAAACAAATTGGCACGCCTAGTGGGACTGGTGTCTAAGTTTGTGTCACAAATTTTGTTTTGTGTTGTATTGTCTTTTGTTTCAGTCTGTTTGTTTAACATTGTTGCATGAGATTAAGGAGTGGCAAATTAGCCAAAACTAAACGAATCAATACCAAAAAAAAATACACTAAGAAGATGGTTAATCCACCAGTAACAATAAATAACAACCCCTCCTTCAACAGGAGAAAGTACGACTGCAATATCTACAACCGAATGAATACATGTTCAAGCAAGTACGACGAGAATACCGGCAAGTACTCATAGTGGCTCATTTTTGTCCCCAGTACAAACATAAGGTCCACCAGTGACCCAAAGCCAACCAAGGGTGAATAATTTTAGACATTTTGCGTCTGGATTCACAATGTCAATTGATGACCGTGAATAGATTTATGGTATACCAACATCAGTAATGGCAAGTTTAAACAATAGTACTTCGACATTACCTGATCCAAGGGTGTCTACTTTTTCACCACTGCAAGGATCAGGATCAGGTGTCAATAATATGGGTAGAATAGTCCCACCCCTGAGATTCTCTACCCAATTATCTACCATGACAACAAATTCTGCAGCAACATTTAGACAACAAATGGATGACAGTAACCACGAGATGGTTGGTGTTTTAGCCCAACAAATAAGCGGAATTTTTAACCCTTTGTTTCAAAGTGCTACCCAAAAAAATCAACAAAATGCACAAATTAATCAACAATTGGCAGCACAGATGACGCGAATTGCAGATTTCTTTGGTTCCCCTCGAGCCCCAGTTCAACATCCCCGTCTAGAATGGATAAGAGAAAACCATGGGGTGGTTTTCGAAGAAAATCAAACAATTAATGAAGCGTAACCAATTGCTCAAAATGTTGGCGAAGTCAATCGGGGGCCAAGAATCGAACAACCCATGATCGAATAAGCCATACCAAGGGAGATTCAAGCCCAAGGGTAGTAATGGTCAACCGAAACCAGGATGCAGACGAAGTCCTTCAACGATTTCGACAAGACGAATACCCAGAAGAAAATAATCTATAAGCCATGGTCAAAAGAATAATGGCTTGAAATGAGGTAAATATAGGCCTTCAAAGGCCAAATTATACTTCCACTTTGTCTGGATATGTTCTACAGACTAAGTTACCTAGGGGTTGGAAAGTCCCAAAGTTTACAAAATTCTCTGGTGGCACTAGCGAATCTACTATCGAACATATAGCCAGGTATCTTACTGAGGCTCGTGACATATCGAATAATGAAAACATAAGGATAAAATACTTCCCTAGTTTGCTAATAAAAAATGCTTTCACATGGTTCACGATCCTCCCAGCAAATTCCATCCATAATTGGACTCGCTTAGAGAAGTTATTCCATGAGTAGTTTTATATGGGACAATAAAAAATTAGTCTCAAAGAATTGGCCAGTATCAAGATAAAGTTTACTGAGCCAATTGATGATTACTTAAACAGGTTCAGTTTGTTGAAGGCAATGTGTTTTACACAAGTTCCTGAACATGAGTTGATCGAAATGGCCGCAGGCGGTTTGGATTACTCCATTCAAAAGAAATTTGACACCTAATACTTGAGGGACATGGCCTAATTAGAGGACCGAGTTCGACAAGTCGAACGTCTGAAGGCTGAAAAGGCTAAGGCAAATAAAAACAATAGAAAAGAAAGGGTTGCATATGTCAAAGCTAAAGAAGATGAACAAGAGATCTATAGAGACCCTATAGGCTTCAAAGAAGGTGAAGTGTACTTAGATGAATTAAAGAAAGGCTCACCCTATTCTTGTAAAGTCTTAGCCCCTTCGAATACGAATAATCTTGTCAAACCTGAAAAGAATGATAATTTTCCTAAGAAAACATATACTTTTGATGCGACAAGATGTGATGAAATTTGTGATTTATTGGTGAAGGATGGCCAGATGATAGTGCCATCCGACGCCAAAATCCCTCTGTTATAACAACGGAAGAAAAAAGGTTTTTATAAATATCATGTTTTTTAGGACATAAAACCTCATAATGTTTTCTTTTCAGGGATCTAGTTCAAAATGCTATCAGAGATGGAAGGCCGAGGTTCGACGAAAAGAGCAAGATGAAAGTTGATATTGATCCTTTGCAGATAGCAGATACCAACTATGCTGAATCAGCGGACATTAACATGGCAAAGGTTATTGAAGGCCCCACAACCAGGACCCTGAGGGCAAAATCACTAAGGATTTTTCTGCAGGTGTCAAATCTAAGGAAGCTACTGAAGGTTTCATCAAAAAAGATGCTAAGGGTAAGACTATTGACGGTGTTACTCTAGATGCTAAAATGACGAAGGCTATTGAAGGCCTCATAATCAAATTCCAAAAAGTCAACATCATTTATGGTCCCAACCTCGAAATCAACATGATGGAGATGAGCCAACATGCTGAGATGGATAATGTTGAAAGACGCAACCAAAAAGAAGAAGAACAACTGAAAGTGGCGTACCCAAAAACAGGAGAGATCATGTTTGTTGTACCCCAAAATTTGCCCTCCCATTTTTCATAGAAGACACAACCCTAGGGTTTCTCAGATAATCAAGTTGGCTCAGAAATCGACTAGACATATTCTCTTTTGTGGCTGTAAACCAGCAATTAGGGTTTTTTGCAATTCTCAAAAGAAAATGATTTCTCAGAAATTCAATTGGTTTTCACAGGTCTTCATGCCTCCTCAAGTTTACTGAAAAGGTTAATGTTTGTTCTTAGAGCATGGTTTGTTGGGGACAAGAGATGGAGTTTAAGACTGTCATTTGGGACGACCATGATTTTGATCCAGGTTAACCAGATGATTTGCGTCTTTTAAAACATTTGCTTGGTTAGGAAATGGAATATACAGTGCGTGCTTGTTTGAAATGAAGTTACATAATTATTAGGATTACTTGGAATATAAGTTACCAGACTGGAACATTTTACTTCAAATATCTTGATTGGGCATTTCAAAAGTCAAATAGGATGCGAGGAGAAATTACAAGTTATTGTTGGTAAAGA